CACTAATAAATAGTTGTTTTTTATAAAAACAACAAACTGGGATTCAGCCTGACTATTTTGCAAAAACAAAATACAAATGGTATCCCAAATAAACCGCCAACACTACTGAAATTAGAAATTGTAAACCTACAGACGGATTTCAACGAGTTAGTAGAAAAGGAAAAATTGGAAGATTCAGTTAAATATAAGAAAAGATTTAGCGAGTTAAAAGCAGAAGTTTTAAGTTTGTTGTTAGAACACTCAGAGTTAGCTCAACAGGTTAAAGAAAAGGATACAGTAAAACAAGAAAACAAGATGGAGACTATTGATTTAAAGTCTATCGTTGCTTTAGTACCGGTTTTTACAGGCAAAAAAGAGGATTTGGAAAGTTTCACTGCTAACCTAGAGTTAGTATACGAAACAATTCCTAATGAAAAGAAAAAATTCTTCTTTAAATATTTTTTTTGCTCAAGGTTAGATAGTCGGGTCCAGAATAGAATTAAACAGAAAGGAATACCAAGGAATATCAATGATTTAATATCTGCCTTGAAGACGGCCTATAAGCCCGTAAAGTGATCCAATGCTGTTTTGAATGAGTTGTCTGGTTTAACTCAAAGAAACAACAATTTGCAAGGTTTCGCTAATAAAATAGAAAGTCTTGTTTCTGAGCTCAACGAGATTCAAATTTCTGATTTAGGTGAGCAATGTAGGGATGCAATTATAGCTACTAATAACCTGACAGCATTCAATACGTTCTTGAATGGACTTCAGGATCAACAGATTGTTTCAACTATTGAGGCTTGTCGACATTTGCCGATGCTTTGCGAATTGCAGAAAGATACGTATCTCGTACAAAACAGAAAGATGTGATGTACCATAATAGGGATAATATACATGGTAAAAAGAAATATTACAATAACGGCAATAATAACAAACGATACAACAACAATAACGGTAACAATAACGATAATAATGGCTACAACCGATATAAAGGGAATAAAAACAACAAGAATTATAACAAGAATGGACGTAATAACAACAATAATAATAACAATAATAAGAATGATAATAGGAACAACAATAACAACTGGAATAAGAATAATAATAATCATGGCAACAGTAACAGAAACAACAATAACTACAATAGTAGGGATTATAATGTTAACCAGGTACAAGATCAGGGAAACTTTCAAGTTCCGGAGACCCCAAGACCTTCGTCTTCGGAGAACACACAATAAAAAATAGAAACATTTTCAGTATATCATCTAATAGGGATAATATACATGGTAAAAAGAAATATTACAATAACGGCAATAATAATAACAAGCGATACAACAACAATAACGGTAACAATAACGATAATAATGGCTACAACCGAAATAAAGGGAATAAAAACAACAAAAAATATAACAAGAATGGACGTAATAACAACAATAATAATAACAATAATAAGAATGATAATAGGAACAACAATAACAACTGGAATAAGAATAATAATAATAATGGCAACAGTAACAGAAACAACAATAACTACAATAGTAGGGATTATAATGTTAACCAGATACAAGATCAGGGAAACTTTCAAGTTCCGGAGACCCCAAGACCTTCGTCTTCGGAGAACACACAATAAAAAATAGAAACATTTTCAGTATATCATCTAACCTCAAAAATTTACGTGAGATTGAATATAATAGATGTAGATTATCCACTCACTTTCTTGATTGATACAGGTGAAGATATTTCTTTATGTAAAGAAAAATTTTTGTACCGATATGAGGGAAATCCAGATGAATACTGCAATCTAACAGGCATTTCGAGGGAAGTTATTAAATCTTTTGGGTCAACTAAAGTTAAAATAGATATAAATGGTATGGTTATTGAACATAGTATCCAGCTAGTATCAAATGATATTCCACTTAGTACAGATGGGATTTTAGGTAGAGATTTTCTATCAAAGTATAAATGTAATGTTGATTATGACAGGTATATCCTAACCTTTAATTTAAATAGTGAAAGCATCACAATTCCTATACATAATAGTTCTTTCAAAATTAATCAGGTAGTTGTACCAAAGAGGAGTGAAATCGTTCTACCTTTTACCATCAATTTGGTAGAAGACGCAGTACGAAAGGTGTGTTCTTAGCTAATTCTATAATTCCGAAAGATGGAAATAAGCATATCAAATTACTGAACGATACTGACCAAGACATGGCGATAGATCATATGAAATTAGAAACAGTTCCTGCGAGCAATTATGATATACTTACAGTCAACCATTGTTACTTACACGGTGGTTATACTGACGAACGTTTTAAGAGGTTAATAAGCAAAATTAATTTGGATGATTTAAGCGAAAGTCATAGGAAAGAAATTGTAACTATATTGAAGAAATATCAGTCGACATTCCATCTTGAAGATGAAGATTTAACGACGAACAATTTTTATAAGCAGAAAATTAACCTAGAAGACAAAAGTCCTGTTTATATAAAGAATTATAGATTACCACAAGCGCATAAAGAAGAAATAAATGCTCAAGTACAAGATATTTTGAAGAGTAGAGTAATTGAACCGTCAGTTAGTCCTTATAATGCACCATTGCTAATAGTTCCAAAGAAAGGGCAAACAGATTTGAAGAAATGGAGATTAGTTGTTGATTTTAGGAAACTTAATGATAGGATTGTTAATGACAAGTTTCCATTAACTCGTTTGGACGATATTTTGGATAGATTAGGTAGAGCGAAATATTTTTCAACGTTATATATGACTAGTTCTTTTCATCAGATTGAACTTGATTGTAAGTCGAGGCCACTAACAGCATTTTCAACACCCAATGGTCATTATCAATATACGAGATTACCCTTTGGTCTCAAAATATCATCTAACAGTTTTCAACGCATGTTGACTATAGCTTTATCTGGTTTAGAGTCTGAAGCATTTCTTTATGTTGATGACATAATAGTTTTTGGATGTAGTTTCAAACACCACAATGAGAATCTCATTAAGGTACTTGATAGATACTATTTGAAACTAAGCCCTAATAAGTGATGTTTTTTGAAATCAGAAGTAGTTTATTTAGGTCACTTGATAACTCCTAATGGAATTAGACCAGATCCTTCAAAATATGATGCGATAACAAAATATCCGGTTCCGAAGAACGCGGATGATGTTAGAAGATTCGTTGCATTTTGTAATTACTATAGACGTTTCATTAAAAATTTTGCAGAAATAACTACATGTTTGAATTCATTATCTAAGAAGAATACTAAATTTGAATGGACAGAAGAATGTCAAAAAGCATTTGAGACACTTAAAAATAGGTTGATAACACCACCAATTTTACAGTATCCAGATTTCGATAAACCTTTTATTTTAACTACTGATGCTTCTGATTTCGCTTTGGGTGCAATACTATCGCAAGGTGAGATAGGAAACGATAGACCAATAACTTATGCGAGTCGTTCTTTGAACAAGCATGAGAAAAATAAGCCGGTTATTGAAAAGGAATTATTAGGTATACATTGGGGAATTCAATTTTTCCATCCTTATCTTTACGGTAGGAAATTTATAGTGGTTACGGATCATCGTCCACTAGTCTCATTGTTTTCTCATAAGAATCCAAGTTCCAAATTGACAAGAATTAGATTAGAATTATCAGACTATGATTTTGAAATTGTGTATAAAAAAGGAATTAATAATACTAATGCTGATGCACTTTCACGTATAAAAATAGACTCCGATATATTAAAAACAATGATACCTCAGAATATTGATGAAAAAAATTAAGAAATCGCTGGTGATAACACGAGGAATGAAAAATAAATTGCGCAATATTATAAATAAAGAAAATGAGATGACATATCCTGATGAGCCTGATCAACTCAAAGTATTGGAATGTACATCCATTAAAGATATAAAGCTAGCTAAAAAATTAAAATTTATAATTAATGAGACGACAAAAGAATTCACTTTTCTTGATAATCATTCTGTGAACGAATTGGCCATAAGCTATAGCGATAATCCTTATTATCTAGATAATATTTTGGAGAAACTATCATCTGAGTTAAGCAGATTGAGTATTAAGAATTTCGTACTTAGTAAAAGTGACGAAATATTTGAAATAATAACCCATGGGAAATTTAAAGAAAAAATGAATAAATATTTGAAAAATAGTGACGTCAGAATTCTTTTATATGAAAATTCTCGAAAAATCTTTAATGAAAAAGAAAAATATGAATTGATAAAATTATATAATGATACACCATGCGGAGGTCATTTTGGAGTAAGAAAAACATTATTAAAACTTAAAAAAAAATACAGTCACTCACATTTAATGTCGGGCACACACATAAAAATATTTCTAGTTGGAATATCTATGATATTATGAAAGAAAATAAATATACTTTATTTCTATTTTATCACAAAAATACTTTTATTTAAAAACAACATAAAAATATTATTTCAAGGTCTCTTATAATTTGTACATAAAGATTAAACTAAGATAAAGGCACTCTTCACACCCACAATAAAAGTCGGGCACTACATTAAAAAACTATAATATAAAGATGAAACTACAAATTAGTATTTTGTTGCACCACCTTTTAGATTTTCAACAGCTTGTAATCGGCTAGGCATTGATTCGACGAGTTTTTTGCAAACATCAGGACTAATTTTTGTCCACTCTGCCTGCAGAGCCGTTTTCAAAGCTTCTTTTGAAGTACAAAGCCTGTCCTGCATTCTGCGTCCTAATTCGTCCCATAAATGTTCAATGACATTAAGATCGGGACTTTGTGCAGGAGTTTTTATAACTTTCGGGCAATTATAAAGCAACCAATTCTTAACATCCAGATAGAATTGAAAGTTATCTTCAATACCCAGATTTTGAACACTCTCTTTCAAATTGGTCTTCAAAATGTTTAAATACACATGTTTGTTCATTATTCCATCAATAAAACATAAGTTTCCGACTCCTGAAGCAGCCATACAACCCCAAACCATAACCGACCCACCACCATACTTTACAGTTTTTCTTAAGTTTTTTGCTTCTAGCTCTTTGTTTGGTTTGCGCCATACTTTGCCCCTTCCATCACATCCAAATAAATTAAATTTACTTTCATCAGTAAAAAGTACCTAAAAAAAACTATTTTAGAACTATGAATTTGCTATTTTTGGCCACACTTACAGTCCTCCAAAAATCAAAATTCTTAGACATATATTGACGGGCAAAGGCAAGACGGTCATTTTGGTTTTTCTTGCTAATGAGGGGCTTTTTTCGTGCAACTCGGCCATGGAAGTCATTTTTTCGGAGAAGCCTTCTTATTGTTTCTGGGTTAACTTCTGTCCCAGAAGCTTCTTTGACCATTGAAGTCAATTTTGGTGCAGATATAAAGGGATTTTTCTTCACTTCTCTTAAAACCATACTCTCGTCTTTAGAGGATAATTTCTTTGATCGCGGTTTACGTAGTTTGTTTGATATTAATCCATTTTCGTTATATCTGGAGATAATATCATGGACCGTTGATTTGCTTATATTAACCAGTTTCGATATTTCGCGTTCAGATTTTCCTTCCAAATGCTGGTTTATAACTATTTTCCGTTCTTCTATGGTGGACTGTCTAATATTACGAGGCATTTTCTAAAATACTCTAATAAACTTCACTGAATGACTGATAACACAACAATGACCAAATATGTGTAAAACAAATACAAAAAAAAAAAACAAAAAATAACGGTATGTTTACTGCATTACTGCAAAAAACCATGGCTTGCCCGACTTTCAATGTGATGCTGAAAAGTGATTTTTGTTTGTTTTGGCTTCATATTCATTTTATAACGGTACTTGCAATATTTTTGTGTGTGTTTTTTTTATATACAAGAGTTTTTGCTATAAAATAGAAACAAAATTAGAAGTATTATTGGTCATAGAAACATAAATATTGCATATAAAAATTTTGTTTTGTGTTTGCCCGACTTTGAATGTGAGTGACTGTATATATGGAAGAATATGTGCAAAATGGTAAAGAAATACGTATCTTCATGCGATTTGTGCCAAAGAAATAAACAGATTAGACATGAACCATTAATGAAAACTGATACGTCATTAAGCAGTTTTGATACAGTGGTAATTGACACTGTAGGACCGTTGAGACCCTCAGATAATTATAGATATATTTTAACTATGCAATGTGAATTAACAAAATATATAATAGCAGTACCAATGCAGACAAAAGAAGCTAAATCAATAGCTAGAAGTTTAAATGAACATTTAATATTAAAGTACGGAATATGTAAGACTCTAAAATCTGACAGAGGCTCAGAATTTGTTAATGAACTGATGAATGAGATGTGTAAACTGTTGAATATAGAACAGAAATTTTCCACACCTTACCATCATGAAACAGTAGGTTCAGTAGAAAGAAATCATAGAGTCCTAAATGAATATTTTCTTACTTTTGTTAATAATGATAATTGGAGTGAATGGATACCGTATTATGCTTTTGCATACAACATAACGCCACATGTTGATACCGGGTATTCACCATTTGAATTAATTTTCGGAAAATTACCAACAATGCCAGGCGAAAAAGTAATGAATAATGAACAAATATATGATACAGAAAATTATGCTAAGGAAATGAAGCTTAGGTTAAAAATTTCATTAGAGAATGCTAGGAATATAATTGAACAGACTAATATTAAGAGAAGTTTAAATTCATTAAGTAATACAAATAGAATAGATATTAAAATAGGAGATTTAGTTTTAGTTAAAAAGGAGAATAGAAGAAAAAATGAATCACCTTATCATGGTCCATATGAAGTAATCAATATTAAAAATTAAATGTAACTATAAGAATTAATAACAAAGAGAAAACATTTCATAAGAATTTGTTAAAGAAATATCAAAACTAATCTTAAGCCAAAATATTTTTAAACAAAACACTTAATATGTATGAATGTAACCAAAAAAAAAATATTTTATTACCAAATAAAAAAAAAGAACAAAGAAAAATACTTAGCCCACTTAAGATCATATTCAATGAGAACAATTATGTAATTATAACTACTTATAAAAAAAGAGAAAAAGAAACAAAAATTATGTGTTACTTGAAACCTAAAGAATTTGTCATAAAATGCACACAAAAAAAATTTATACATTTCATTTAAGGGTGAGGGTGTAGTGTGTCACCATCACATTATGTTGCCATGCATTTTGATGTTCAGTATTTTGTTTTGTTGAGTTGGTCAGTGCCACAACGAGTTCATTGCTTTCATTGTTTCTTTGTTTTTCAGAGCGCTGCTCATATGAAGTTCATTGCTTTATGCTTACTCATATGTTGGGCGACAGTTTAGAGTTTCCAATTGGAAACTCAAATACTATTGTAATGAATCAGAGTTCGGCCAATGGGAATGAAGAATATCCCAATAGTAAATTTGATTGAGTGAAATTCCAAAATATGAGTATGAATGAAAATATGAAATGCATGACAACATATGTAAAAATATCACATACACACATACAAATATACTTCGTTGTAAAATAGATTTGTAAGAACTCTTTTCTGATTGGTTAACAGAAAAGAGTATTGAGTGATATCTAGATTTAAGAATTTTTGTTAGAATTAAGAACTTTATTATAAATACTGAAAGGAAAAATAAAGAAGTCAGACTTGTGCTGTCATCCATCAAGCTTGCTCTATCGGCAAGCCAACAAAACATAAAAGTAACTTATTACACTAGTGAAAAACAACAAAAGGCTATGAAACAAACTGACTCCCTTATACTCAAAAAAAAAAAAACAAAAGAAGCCGATCTAGGAACAACTGTTCTTATTAGAGGGAGGGTGGTCCACAACGACTCTTTTTTAAACAAATTTTAGAACTTTGATGATGTTGCTTATCAGACCCCTTACCACAAAATTAATTGGCTCCGACTACATATCTATTGAAGATGGGGATGTTATAATTTGGTAGGACTTTGGCTACTTACGACCTACAACAAGTCTGAAAATATATTTGGAAATTGCGGATGAAACCGAAAAACTTATGGAATATTTCCCCTCCTCGCTTATGGTGAAAATACTCGAGTCTGATATTATGCGAATACTTCCTTCTACTTCTCATTGGGGTCGTATCACTGGTAACGTAAGAACTTCGTATTGTAAGAAGAGACATTTGGGTTTGAAAGGTTTTTTGTAAAGAAGCAATAAATAGCTTCTGGGAGAATATCCCAACAAAAAACTTAGAAAATTGATGAGGATCAGTGGCGAGATCCGAAACTATAGTGTTCCCTGCCTTACCCCTCGGCGAACAATGCCATACATTCCATACTAATAAGTAGTTGTTTATTATAAAAACTACAAACTGGGATTCAGCCTGACTGTTTTGCTAAAACAAAATACAAATGCTGTCCCCAACAACCCGCCAACACTACTGTTAACAGATATTGTCAACAAAATTATTGGAAAAGCAAAACATGAACAAATGCAGGGTACTTATACTAAACACTACTTGCTCGAAACAGAATTACAATTGCGGAAATCGAAACATTAATACTATCAGTCACTCCTTCGCTATTAGATTCCGATAATGTAAATGAATTATTGATTATTATGAGTTCAACAAATACAACTGTAACATACTTGCTAAACGTATCATTATTTAAGGTCCTACTGTATAATGAAATGTATCATTTTCTTATCAAATATCCCAAGCCCAAATTAGTATGTAAGAAAATAATTTTCCACCCAGTCCAACATAATTGCACAATACTACATCTTGCTGAAACCAACAGCGTCGCTAAGTGTGGATGTTGTATAATGGAAATCAGAAACTGCACCTCAACGCTAACTTCATCCTTTTATCAAGAATATTCGCAACCATATTATCAAGAATATTCACACTGTAGCACAATACCAAGTCATCTTGAACCATTGGAGATTTTCGATGATGGCGTCATGATTATAAACGACAACAGAGCCACTACAAAAAAACCTAGAAGGAACCGTTACAATAATTACCGGTACATATTTGATAAAGTTTAAAGATGAAATCAGTATTAATGGCACCATATTCAAAGACCAGAAGATGGTACTAACGTCGGCTAAATGTACTATAGTTAATATCATAAGTCATCAAGATATATTGAACCTGCCGTATCTTCAAAGATTACATTTTGAAAACTTACAACACATCGATGACCTGAAGAACAGGACAGTGGTCTCCGGACTTACAATCATTATTTTTATCATATTTATATTGCATTAATATTGTGTCAAAGACGAACAGTAAAATGCGATGTTATTGAAGCCGTCATTGTTAGCTACAAAAGGCCCGAGGACGGCCCTCACATAAGTGGGGGAGGAGTTAACACAATCTCCATTAACACAAACCATTGTGCACACCAAATACGAATGAATGCATGAAAACCCCAAAGCGTGGACTTATACTAATAACGCATGGAAGAATATACAACCCTCAAACTACTGCTATTTAGATTACATAGTGTAGGAATTAGCGAATATTTGGCGTTATAATTATATGAGGGCTATGCCTAATTAATCACCGACATATGTCAATTTCGAACCTAATATTTTTGTTTTGTATATAATGTATATGGGGGAGATGTATAATTGTATGGGGGGAGATGCCTAAATGCTAGCCGATATATTTCGTTATCGCCAGGTTCGAGTATTTTATCATGATGTCCATAGAAAGCGGAGTGATTAAAGCCGATGCCTAAATAGTCTTAGAATTCCATACTTTGTAGGGTAGAACCGACTATGGTAGAATACGCCTATATGGGGACAACTCCTACACACGGAACTGATCAGATAACTATTTTAATATAAGAAGGGGTTATATAGGAACTAACCCAAAAGGGCCAAATATTAATTGTTTTTGGTAGGAAGATTTGTTATCATATGCAGTACTACATACCAAATTACAGCGAGTTCCACCAAAATACAGAAAATTGTTCAGAACCCATTGTACCAAATTTCAGGGAATTCGGTTTAAAAACACGCTTAAACCCCCCAAAATAAATTGAGGGGTACCGTTATGTGGGTGCTACCAGAAAAAGTAAACAAATATTTATTACTTTTGGTGGAGATATTTGGTACCAATTGTACCAAATTTCAGCGAATTTGGTTGAAAAACGCGCTCAAGAAAACCAATATATCGAAAATTGGGCGGTACCCAAATATGGGGTTTATGTCAGAAAAAAGACTCTATGCAACATTTTAGCGATCTATCTCAATTCCTTCAGAAGATATCGTGATTACAACAGACGGACGGATAGACAGACAGACATACAGGGCTAGATCGTCTTAAAATTTTACCCTGATATATATATATATATATATATATGGAAAAGAATATCCCCTCCCTCCATCATTTTTTGTTGGATGTTCTTATATCTGTGGTGTACTATAGTGAAATCATATTGTCATCAAAGATTGGTTGCATTTCATTATCTATCCTGTAATTCCATTCCATTGTAGATACCGTGAAATTATTAGTTCTAATTGTAGTTGTTTTTGCTTTAAACTGAGAAACGACTATAGTCTGTCACGAGACCTTCCCCAAATAGTTTTGTGTTCAACTGGGAAGAGGTTCTGCTGTGAATTAAACAAACGATGGTCGGTAGTCCACGGATCTAGCCTTTCAGTTTGGTGTCAGCTATGTTGAGGGACATTGTGGTGGCTGAGTTTTATGCATAAATCACGGGTAGAATTTCGTCTCTGTGTGGAGTTGCATTTCCCAGTCTGGTAGGTGTTTTAAATGGACTCTGCTTATTATGTTTCTGCATTTTGTACCAAAACTGCGAAAACCTGTTCAAGTGGCGTTAGCAAACTGGATCCTGATGTTATCGATCAGGTTCCAGGTTCAACAAAAGAAAATCCTCCTTCAAACATTTCCTATGTTTCGCCAAACCATCAATTTCATTATCACAAACACTGTGTGCTACCGCGTACACAAAATACTGATATAATCAA